TGAAATCACTATACTTTTAGCTTTTTAATAGTAATATGAATCTATAATAACAAATTCAACATGCCAGCATTGTTTAAGTATATGTATAGCCTATACGTCCTTAATCAATCGATATTTGAAACGAGGTAAATGAGATTCGCACTTCTACTTTCCTCCGAACAATTTAATACCCAAGAATCAACTTGACGAAGATATATGTTCGGCTCCAATTTAAAAAGCAAAACCTCCGTCTCTAAAGGCGACTGACTAAAGCTTGAATCGAGCTTGCACGACTGCACTTGCTCTCGTTCTAAAAATGACATTAGAAGAATTGGAGTGAAACCATCGTGGAACACGGAATTTATTTTTGGTTAAAACGTGAGTAACGCGATGGGGGAGAAGCGAACCCCCTTGGCTCGTCGCACTCCACCGAAACCGGGATTTATAGGTCGCGTTGCGGCGCCAAAATGTCTCTGACGACGTAACGCGAGGGTGATCACGAGGATGAAAAAAGAATCACGGCTAGCATAAATTCGAATCGTTTTCCTGGAAAAAATGTCGGCGAAATATCAACGAGAGCCTGGAAACACGCCCTTTCTTCCGCTCCAGTACGTCCAACGGGGAGCAGCCATCAAAAATTTGTAATTCCGAGTTCGAACGGTCTTTCCAGGGAACACTTACTTTATATACATAGAATGAATCGATAAGAACAGCCGTATGAAATAACGATAAGAATGGTCATAAAATAAAAGATGTTTCGCTGAGATTTACTGTACACACAGTACATTAATTAAAAAGAACTTCCGATCGATCCCTAAGGATTTTTAAGGGACTCAGTGATCAAATTCTTGGCTCAGCCTTTATGTTCGGCTGAGAATAAAATTCGGGGACACTCCCCTCTCCAGGAGAAGAAATCAGAAATTTAACGATCAGTAAACGCACGAAACACCGGGAATGGATCAGGGAACGGCGGACAGAATTCCATAAGAGTATGATGGCTGTTTTTCCACGGACGTCAAAGGCCGAGTTTTTAACAACATTCCCGAGGATCGGCCCGTTTAAATGCATGGCGGTGGCGTGACTCCACGCAGCTGGCCTTGGAGGCTGTTAGAGCGTCAAGCCTGCTCTCTTCGCTCGCCGGCCCTGAAGAGGTGGTCACGGTCAAGGCTACGGGCACCCTCTCTTTCTTCCTTCGTCTTTGTCCAATCGGACCGACACACGTTTGTTCCCGATACACACTCGCTCAAAAGTATTTAGACACTTTCAGGAACTAATAACAACATTAACGAATTTTATCCAGCTTTATGTATTCGGTAGTTCATTAAATCGTGACTGTACGACAGAGTAAACAGACCACATTAAATTAAAAAAACTCAAGTTGATAATCCTATACTCTGATAAAATAATCTGGTGATAAACATTGTGCAACAATAATGATTCATGTACCATGAAAAATGTTACATGCTTTTGAGCGACAGTGTAATACGAAGAGAACGAGAGAATGAGAGAGAGAGAGAGAGAGAGAGAGCCTAAACTGCATTTCGGTGCAATACGAAATGTCAGACCAATTCGCGTCGACAGGTTTAAAATGAAAACCTTCGTCCCTTTCTTGCTTGTATCCGTTCCCTCGATCACGATAAAGGGGCGGCCGGGATTCAACGATGCACGAATTTCTTCCGTGCACCCGGATAGCAAGGGAGCAAGATCTCGCGACGATAACGCTGGAAAATACACCGTGAAGATAAAAGGGTTTATCAGATGCCAGCGAGTTCGTAACCGTGAACCGTTGCATCGTACAAAAGCGAGGAATTATTAATTAAAATCTCCCGGCAGGGAAGGGTTAAAAAGAAAGCAGAACAGATTGCGATCTCACCCCATTAACCCATTTGCATGATACATACTCTTCGTAGAAACATTATACGAAAAACGAGTCGAACGTTTCACATAGTAAGTAATTGATACTGCATTTGTCATAACGTAACGTAACAATTATACAGTGATAAAAATGAAAGAAGCGACGAAACATTTCATCAGGAGCTGCTCATCGAACCCGGTGGAAAATAAACAGAAATAGGACGAGTTCCAAGACTGGATTCTAAATATAGTATGTAACACCCAGCGCGCATACTATGGGTGGGGTATCCTCGTAATCGAGGCTGCCTCCTCTCGCACTCCCAGAGAACTCTAGAACTCATGCTCCGATACGTAAACAACCCACGCACAAAGAAAACAGAGGCCGACGCGTTCATACCTGTGTTTATGAAACTTTGTTTATGTACCAGGATGATAATTGACTTCTCACCACTCCATCCCCGTATCTTATCGTACGTTACACGATTCCGAGAATGAATCGGCTCGCGAAAAGTCGTCAATCGAGTCGCGGCATCTGTTTGATGTGTACCAAACGTTTCGACACATTGTAGTGAACGTTTCCGCTTGAAGAAACGCCGATATGGACGAAAAAAACCTCGTGTTCTCACTTTTTTTCGGCGGAAACACTAGAAGCCAAGGAAAAAGGAGACAAGAAGCCGTGTTTCGCCGGCTATCTGCGACTTAGATCGCCGAGCCTTTGAGAGATGCGAACGCCGATCGAATTACCGACTCAATTCGTGCGTGAACTTCTGCGTGGCCGAATCCCGTTTGCCAGCACAAAGACGCGTAGCTACCGAGAGATCCACAAAGTAGTAGGTACGGATCTTTCATTCAGACGCGTTGTAGTCGAACGAAAAGACTACATATTTCTTTTCTCTTCTGATCTTTTTCCGTCATTCGACTACCGTCCGTTTCGCGTGGCCAAAGTATTTCGCGAAACGGTTTCTCTGTCTCTCCCTATTTATAACCGCAAACGCGAAACATCTCGCCGACCAAGAAATGAAAATATTCCCGGCCGCCTCTTTTATACGAGCTTCGAAATCGCGCTATAAAAGACGGAACGACGAGAGCGTGTGCTTTCCATACGGAATATGCTCCCTCTGAAATATGCTCTACCCCTCTCCCTGTCGCCGCCCTCAACGATATGCTGATCTTTAACACCAACACCTTCCAGGGCGTGACAAAAGCTGTATATCGACAATCCAGAAGGAATCCCTACGTTCTAACCAACTGACGCTTATCTACTCTTTGTTTTCCTTCCAAGATAACATCGAGAACGGTGTACAAGCTCGATTTGACTTCTACGCATAGAAAAATGTTGCATCAAAATGCACGTTCATTCCCATTCCTTGCGAGACAATGAATTTAGTAACACGGGCAAGAACACTCTTATTGCATGTGTAACGGTATTTTGGATATTAAATGCATTGTTTATGATCAGAAAGTTGGCAGAAAAAGCGACATGAAGTTTGCGTATCGCGAGGAAAATTACTGATCGTGAACGTCACACAGAAAACCCGAGGCCAGTGAAGCCTGCGTGGGAGAGAAACGTGACCAATTTGATAAGGGATCGCGATAATTGTATTCTTACACGTTGGACCTCACAGTATCGGTATACGGTATCAGCCCATCGGTATCGTGACCGGCAGGCCAATTATTGTTTTTAACAAGCCCGTCAATTTTTCCCCCGATCCCACGAATACAGAAAACTTCGCCATGCTCCCTACCGCGTAATTCGTTTAACTGCACGGGACCGAGTTTCATACTAATTAAGAAACTAATTTGCTACACGGTCGCAATACGGCGATAGGTCAGTTTTAGAGTTCAACCGTGGTATCAATCAGAAATCGCCGACATACACGTATCAGACAATGGACTGTCAATAGCAGTAGCATTGAAACGTTGAAAACAAACTTAAAATAAACAAGGTCAAAATGTGACGAAAAACTATCTGGCGCGCAATAATTGTTGCGAACAACCTTGAGACATCGCACGTAGTTTCAAAAGAAAGTAGATAAAATTTTTAGTAAACAAAGACTCACCGAGCTCGATCACTGAAGAAATCGACCTTGCTCTTCTTTTTCATGATAGCCTGCGGTTGATGAAGGGGGCTGACGCTGGGTTCGCTGGTGGCCGGTGGCGAGCTGGAACCGGTGCTGGAGGAGAGCGAGCCGGCCCTTCCGCGGCCGGATTCGATCAACTGCATCTCGGTACCGCGACCGTTCGCCGAAACGTGATTCCCGTGGCTGGGTGGACCGGCCGAAACGGCCAACGACGGCCTGGTGTTCTGCCGATTGCGTCGTTTCTTTTTTTTCGCCTCGTTCTCGTCTTGCCGGTTGCCGGTCGCGTTGCCCGTACCCGGAGGCATCCAGTCCAAGTCCTTCTTGAGGTGTCCGCGACCGCAACGGCAACCGCACGCCTTGAACGCCAGGTCGTAACCCTTCTTGGTCCAGAGGTTCTGATGACGTTGCCTCTCGGACCAGCTACGGGCGCGGCCGCAGCTTTTCAAATAAGTCAGCACGGTCTGTTCCCAGGCGTCGAAACACTCGCGATGCATGAACTGACCCACCGGGCAGCTCTCGTTATTGCACGTCACCTTGACCGCGTCGTGGAGAGCGTTCAGCCGAATCAGAGCGTCGCCGCGGAGGCACTCGCCGGTCGGCGTGCAGCATCGGATCGTCTGGCTCTGTCCCAGAAGATTGTTCTCCATCGTGTCGTTGAGGACGGCACCTCCACCGTTCTCTAACAACACGGCGTGACCGTTCGCGTGACGTCGCGGTGCCATCGCCTCTCGAATCGACGTCAAAACGTACCTCTCCTTTAGCAACTCCGTCGCGTTTGAATACACACACTGGTCTCTTTAAGAAGAAAGAAAACTGGATGCAGTCGTTTCTGATTATTCGCAATTGGCACACGATACTCGTACAGTTGTTGCTCTTTACTTTTTCATCTTCACGCAGTTCCCGCGTCTCGGCCGTGTCGTCTGACGCACATCCATTCAACGACTGCCGCGGCTGTTTCGCAAAGTGACGCGTAGTAAATCGCAGAGACACGCAGCGGTTGTGTTCGGTACTCGGTGAAAAAAGGCGCGCGTCAACCGGTGATCTTTCACGGCACGGACTGTCATTTGACGATGTTTAACTCTGCAAGATGAGAATCGTGATAAGGACCGGACACGAACGAAATCACGTAGAAGGACGAGAACGATCAGGTCCCGAATCACTCGCGGTGTCGTACTGATTCGTCGTGCATCAAAGTCAAGGTCAACGGTATGGACGCCGCGTCGCGGTTCCGACAAAGTCTCACTCCCGACAGATCGAAAGTCGCGTCGTATTTATGAAAGCCAGAACTGAAAGAACTCGTCGTACGTACCGTGGTTATCCTCTTACCGGCACCGTGCGTCTGCTCGCCGTCGAATGTCAGGGTCACCGGCGCGTAGCGCGCGCAGCGTCGAACGCAATTTTCGATCCGTTTCCCGGCGATTCTTTGTATACAGGAGAACGAGAAACAACGATGCAAGGAGGCGTACACACGCAACACCGAGGCTTCTCTTTTTTTTCCTCTCTCTCTCGCGCCACACGGAGAGAGTCGACGACGAAAAACACTTGCTCGCACGTAGGGTGCACTAGTCACTGAGCGGCGGCGACGACAGCGTGCCGGCTGCCGTGGCTCGGCGCGCGGGCGAGCGCGAAAGTGAGGTCCCATTGGGTGAAAGCGAAAGCAGCATGGTGGGGGTCACGGCTAGCGCGCCAATCGATGCGCGCCGTTGTCGTCCCTCCGGCGAGCCACGTTACCGCTCTATAGTCGTGTCTTACTCGTGCCCAGGCGTCCGTCTCGTTCCCGCTCGAACACGCTGCTGCATACACACGAGCCGCGTTTTACTTTTCGAAGCCGGCAAGCAGGACTGCGAATAATCCTCGACACGCGTGTGCGAGCACGTACATACGGTAACACGTACACGGAAAGTACACAACCCACGTAAGTATGCACGTATGTACGTATACACATTTCTCCGGGTTACGCAGAAATCGTAACGAGATAATGCTCTCCAAATTGAAAATTCACGAACACCCGATCTCCTTCTATCACTCCCTTTTTCTCTCTCTCTCTCTCTCTCTCTCTCTCTCTCTCTCTCTCTCTCTTTCTCTCTCGTTGCGATGTAAGAGGATTGAGAATAAACATCAGATTACTGCGATCGTTTCAAACCGCTAACGCCGTACGAACACTTTTCATTGAAGTTACATTTATGTAGCCAATTAAGCAGGTGACGCGATAATCGTAGCCATGTTTGATATATCGAACACGTATCGACATGCGTATCGAATTAGCGTAGTAATGGCGGATGTTGGGACTTGGACAAGACGCTGAATTCTTTATTTTCGACGTTTCGTATATTTATACCGGTAGTGTCACGTGAAGTACTTGGGTGTGAAAGTTTCGACCAGATTTGAGGCGCATTCGATAACACGTAAGTGTGGTATGTATACTAAATGTTTGTCACAATTGACAATGACTCGAGCATATTGCGGGATGTCGGGTTCTACGAATATTCGGATCGTGCTGGAGGAATCAAAGATTTCATACACTGTTGAGCATTCCGTTTATACATCAAGCATCGACTTTCTTTGTACTGGTACGTGTTGCGTGATTTTGAGGTCAGTAAATGAAACACCGCGGTGACAATGTCACGTCTGTAAGTGCATATGCTGTCTCCTTTTTTCGGACGTGTCACTTTTGTCGTGTTTACTTGTGTTGTCACGTCACTAGATATCAACCGGACTATTACGCTATTAGCGAAGTAAGCATACAAATATTTACGTCTCCCTTCGGTATGTTACGGAATCAGGGTTCTAATTCGTGTTTCAGTGAGACGTAGATCGTGAAAATTCGAAATATTCATGACGGGCACGAGTCTGTGTAAGCTGTGAGAAAAATTCGGCGAGATGCAAAGAAGGTTAGATCAGAGTCATCTTTATTTAACCGAGGTCGCGTTCTCTCTGATCTTGTAATATTGTATTCGATTCCTCGTCTTTATTCTCAGCTTCAGGAGCGTCCGCGGCATTCGACAAGATTTATTTGGGATCAGAGCCACTATTCTGGATTCTGGACAGAACTGCAGCTATCGGTGAGTCTTATTTTACACAATCGTAAATGACTTTTATTCAAAATGATTTTTATTCAAAAACATTTGTGGTACGAACTTGAAGACTGACACTCATAAAGATACCACTGTCTTTCATTTATTCATTGGTACACTTTTATAGATTACTAGTGTTTTCGATACCTTCCTACAAATGCATAAATTCTGCAGTCTACTTATAACTCGACAATCTCTGACGACCTAACGGGATGTAAACAGCAATACGTGTTTACCCTATTTCGTTTGCGATCTGAAAATATCGTGAATCCGTTTGTTGATATGTAAATGCGAACTCTCGGGCACATCTCTCTTTCTCTCACGACGGTTATCGAAATGCTTGACAAGTGAATCGCGCAAACAACGCGCGGATAATATACATTATAACAGACCGAGTGTGTTTCTCTCGTTATCATTCGCGCTCCGTGTTATCTTCGACGAAGGTCATTAATGGCAAAAGATTTCTCTCTGTGGCGCGCGAAATGAGGAATCATCGGTACAAAAATAAACGAGATACGGAGACGTAAATCATCACCCCGGTTCCCCTGGTCTGGTTATCGAACTTCAACGTTCCCTTTTTTTATCGTCCCTGTCGCGTGTCCTATATACAAAAAAGCGTATGGTGAAATAAAAAGGAAGAACAGAGACGCGGGTTATCGGGAACGCCAACGGCTGCGAATTTTTATCACTCGTACCTACACATGTTCAGCTGCGCACGCATATTGCGAGCGATTATCGTACGCCCACGCACATGTGCGAAAGAAAGTGCCCTGTATTTCATATCGAATATTAATGAGACGTGAAAAGGTGCGTTCGTATCGTATCACCGTTGCATGCGTGTCTATCGTTTTAAGCTCGAATTAAAAATTCATACACGACACCTTCGAACGAAGCATAAGAATAATCATGATTCACGTGTAATTTATCGTATGAATCGTGTACAGCGATGCTCGCCCGTTCATTATGATATCGTCGACGATACGATATGTACCTAAAACATGACCCCGATCCCGCGTCGATAGAATCGAGCTCGAGGTGTACTATTTGCCTGAATTTTTCGACCATTCCCACGGGCATTGAGGAGGGAATCGGGCTATCGGGCACGCAACATACAACAAAGAGTCGATTCTGGCCCACTGTCAGCTCGCGTATGCTCGTGCGAGCGAAGAGCACGAGGCGGCGAGTAGAGTCGGCTCCTGGGACACCAACGAAACGAGATACGTATTAGATTACGTTGCATAATTTTATCGGCGATCGTAAAGCTGTTACGAAACGTGAGACTCCCAATTCTCTAACGACGTCAGCCATAAATAACGCGTGTTGATCAAAACAACGTCGAGCCACCCCCGACTCCAGCTTCACGATTCTAAATGATCTCGCTTCTTATTTTGTCATCGTAAGTATCATAATCGCAATTAACGCACTGTTCCGTATAATAATTGCTGTCCTACGTTTCGGCATAACAACTGACGCAATAACCGGGATACTGTGGTTTAACGCGTAAAAATTATGGCGCACATTATAAGATTTATCGCTGAGTGTAAACATTGAGCAGGACGGAAAAACGTTACGTTTCTTCTACAAACTCTTTTTATTCACACATTCCGGTTGGTCGCAGCGTTTCTTGTTGAGGAAGGCCGACCGATATTTTACGATTCTCACGTGACGTACAGCCGGTCGTGGTAATAAATAAAGCGTAACTTTCGAGTCCGGAGAATTATGTGTTCTCGAGTGTAGACACCGGAGACGAATTCGATGCGTTTGACAATAGGTCCCCGCTGCTTAGATCGAAACCGTGTAAATATTGTAAGAGAGGAAAATTCAGGTCAGAAAGTTTTGCCGTCACACTGGCATGAATGGTTTAATATAGGGACCCTCGCACCGTATTATTATGAATAGACAATTGTACATCCAGCTCGTACGTTTTACGATATTTCCAAGCGCTTATTGTCCACCGAAAACTTTGACCAACATTCCAAATTAGTGATCATCAGAGACTGCTTCAATAAATAAACTACGTACACGTAGTCGTAATCAGGCAACGAATCGTGCAATAAATCATGAATTGAAGGATAGAGATCGAATCCGTGTAAATATTGCAAGAGAGGACTCCAGGTCAGATGAATTTCGCCATAACGCAACGGTTTAACGTATGTAGGGTGAACCAGGGTAAAAGGGGGTAACACGACGTCGAGGCATCCGAAAAGGATAATCCAGCGTCCTCGAGAGGGCCCTGTATGAAAACGTTGTTTTGATCGTTCTGGGTTTCTAGGACGGTGACCATGAATGAGGTTTTAGCTGGTATACGACCCGATGCATCGTAGAAGGGGGGTTGACTCTCAGATGCGGGGAGAACCAGATGTCATTCAACAGGAATCGAGGTCCATCCGTTCACGCGTTGGGGTGCGTTATTCAAAAATTGAAACCGGAAAGGAAAGGGTAGATCAGAGACAATTGAAAAGAGAAATCTCTTTTGAAAATGGGAACTGACTTCCGGTGTCACCCTTTCTCCGCAGAAAGGAATGATTAATAATTTCGTTTCTCCAGTTTCTAAGATCCCAAGTCGACATCTGTTCTTCATTGCAAAAGGAGAATATATTAAGATTTAAAGAGAGAGAGAGAGAATTAATAGGAAGATGTGTATTCTGTAAAAACGAGATGACTCCTGGTAAAGGGTGGCGCGAGGAAAGATTCAAGTCCTACTGGAGTTTGGTGGAACGGTGCTAGGTGAAACGGGCGGTTCGGGTTTTGAAGGTTGGGGGCACCGGGTTGACCGTGGGGTGTCGGAAAGCGGGGGTGTAGGTCTAGGTTCAGGGGTGGCAATGCCCCGGGTGGGCGTGCACTTTCGGTTTCAGGCTGCGCATGCCCGTTGCACTCTCGTTTCTCACCCTTCACAGTTTGCACGCGTTCATAAAGTTTTCAGCCACGTAAAATCCACCACCCCGGCGTCACGTCGTTCTCGAAGCGAGAGACAACCGTTCTTCCGTGTCTCGTTGCAAGAGTAAAAAATTACAGTGCCGTTATTGTTTCGATTGCAACAGCAATTATAAGAAATGCAATTACTAGATGAATTATTGTATCGAATGTCGTATTGATCATCGTATGAAACGTTGCATTGAGCAACAGCTCTATCAGATATCGTATCAGTTTCTATTAGAATATTTATGGTCCGTGTGTAATTCAAATGGGTCAAACGGACGGCGTAGATTTTTCTCGAATTCCATCGGGTCACTCACTCTTCTCGAAGAGTGAACGCGCCCCTTTAGGATCCGTGAAATCTTTAGCATTTGCTTACGCAGAATAAGATTGTTTCACGGGACGTTTCTTTCGCTGACTCGGCGTTATATCACCGTCGACTGAAATGATCACTGGGTGGGTTCGTATACCTGAACGCGTACAGTTTGAATTATATAATTTATCTAAAAGGGACCGCGGCGGTCGACAGGCTGTGTGTACACACGCGAGCGTTTCTCTGCCATTTATGATCAACCACACCCGACGTGAGTAGACCCGACCGAAGGATGGCTCTCGACGGGTTCGGGCCTCCAAATATCAAGGGTTACGCGATAATTAATTTCACGTCGTAATTCAAGACCGCGCGAGCAATTAGTTTCACCCGGTAGAAAAAGCTGCGAATGTTACGGAAAATTGGCGAGAAAATTTCATTGAACAATAATGATTATGTTATTTTCACGCGAATTTAACAATTCTAAATGCGTTTATCAAACGCGTTTAACCCATGATCGAGTCGTACCAGCTGCGTACAATGAGCAGTGTAACCTTATGATTTATGAACATTGCGTGAAAAGAGAACGAGGACTGTGCGGTGAGCCTCAAGACGAAACCTTTTCACGACGCATTCAATTTCTGATTCACAATAGCTCGGTAAAAGCTGGCATTACGCAAACGCGTAATAACGACGTTGTAATTCCCTCCGTTTCTTGATTTCTACGAACCTGGAAGCCTCTGCAATAATATAGGAAAGAATCGCATAAAGATACCGATTGATGCCATAACACCCACGGTTACATCGAGCGTTCCATCTCTTTCAACGGTTTCACCTTTTAACAAGATTTACCATTTCCAATAGTTAATAGCGTGGTATTTCACATTTAAAAATTATTCTATAAAGGATTTCTATCTGAGTAAAGAAGCAAGTCACAGTCTAACGACAGGTCGTTCCTTTGAATCCAAGTTCAAATTCCATTGTTTAACGAGATTTAACCGATGTAATATTTGCAGTAATTAATGGTCTGGTCTTAAAAATGATTATTCCTGTGTAGGGCTTCGATTTTAGTAAAGAAAGAAATTGGAATTCGTCTCGTTCAAGCGAAGTTGAAACGTGAGGGAATCGGTTTCTCGTTCGGGAAATGTGGTCGATATCCAGTGGCGCAATTTTTTCGCGAAATTCGATTCCGCGGACAGTCGTGAAACTTTAAACGAGTCCGGTGCAGTCAACGGAAATTGATGTATTACTCGAGCGCGTAGCGGAAAGAGCTTTAATTAACAGTTATATTCGAAAAACGAGCCTCGTTAATACGCGATTACTCTTTGACGATCAAGAGCAAAGTACGTGTTGTCGATACTTGTCGCGAGGGTAATCGAATTAGGTGGCAAGAGAATTGATAGAAAAAATGAAAATCGCTAGCGAGAACCGGTTTTCTATACGCCTAGCAGTTTGTTCGCCGTGAGTACGGTTTATTTCCGTCGCTAGGCGATCTATTCATAGCGTACCACCGACATGCAATTGCATAAAGCTAGTGGATACGTTGACCCTAAGTGTTACGTAACTCGCGTCTAGTGCCAACTATCAGCGGAACGATAACGCACACTCGCTCGATACAGAACAGAAGTATCTACGAACGTTTCTCCCTGGTTCTCCGTATTATACATGTTCGCAATATATCCTTATCGTTTCGGCAACATCCGTCGATTTTCGAACACACAGAGACATTTTCCATGCTCGATAAATACTGATTAGATAGGTA